TGCTACTCGAAGGAATTGATTCAATATTAAAATAGTTACAATGCATATACACTATACAGACACAAAAAAAACCTACATCATAATAGAAATATATTTCAGATACCAGCTGTTGACCCTTACTTATTGCAATCTACAAACTTATACAACCATAAAAACAAAATCCCCTCCTAAATTTTAAGGAAAGACAACTTTCTTTTTTAATTAGTCAAAACTTAACTATAGCTATAATCTCGAAAGTCTTTTCATATTATGCCAGTAGTTAGAACCACGTGTCTTAAAAATGTACTAAGTAATGCCTAATTTTAAAAAAATAGTCCATCTTGTAGTGTTATTTAAATAGATAATGAAGTATACAATTGCGACTAGCCAAAAAATACTTGTTTTTACCGAGATACTTTTCTTGTGCAGGCAAAAAAAAACACAAATTTTTTGAACCTGTCTAAAAATTATATTTATATTTATCAGACAATAACTGGATATTTATTACTGTAATTATTATCTGAGAGTTTCTGGAAAAACATGAGGAATTTAATTTAAAATTTTGAAAATATAAAAAAAACTTTAATTAGTATCACTTTGTCCTAAATTTTGTTTTTTGCGGTTTGATAATCAAACAAACCAAATACTGTTAATTTTAAAATGTCCATAGTGTTTAAAAAATGTACTTAAATAGCAACAATTGTGATACAAATTTGTTAGGATTAGAGAAAAAAAACCGGAAGAATTTAAAACAATAGCATTATTCCAGTCACTAAAGCTCATTCACAGTGCAAACTAATCACAAAAACAATTCCTGGTTGATAAAATCACTTTGGGAAAAAATGCATAAAATTGTTAATGTGATATTACCGCCGATAGTACCGCCATTTTATATATTAAAAATATAAATAGGTACCTATTGATAAAAGCACTGTAAAGACAATGCACTTAAAATTAACCTAAAACTATTGCATATAATTAGTAGGAATCATGTCGCACCCTTGGAGCAAGACTACCACAACTCAAGTTCTGAGGAAATACAACTTAAAGATTGAGTCTGCTCCCAAATGGTTAATTTTAACTTTAAAAACTTTAATTTTAATACTTTTCAATTATTTTTTTGTTACCCGGTGCTTGTTATTTTAATTTCAAGCTACTTAGTTAAATCTTAGCCAGACACCACAATTTGAGGTTACGGCTATTTAGCAATATGTTTTAACAAACCAAACTGCCAAATTTGTTTGTTGTGCCAGTTTATCATTTTAAATATTTTATAAGCCGTAATGAGAAATGTGGCAATTTTGTTTTTAGATTATTAATATATGGCTACAAGACAAAATGTGACAGTTTGTTATTATTTCACCAGTGTCATCTAGTTAAGAATTATTATCAAATTGAAAGTTAAAACGCCTCAAATCGAAATAAGACAGTCTTGATTTAGTATACTTAAGTATAAAAAACTGTAGCAGTATTATATTTTTTTAACCGAAAAAACCAAGAAATTTATTACAGAAACGTTGGTTAGGTTAAACGTCAATTCATGTCTGGCCGGACGCGAGAGCATTTGTTCCCTTAACCCTTTTTTTTTCATCTACCTATTAAATTATGATAAAGACAATTTTGATCTGGTATACCATTACATAAAAAAAGGCAATATAGATAATAAATTTTACAATTTGCACGCCAGGAACTAAAAGAACTTTTTATACCCTTAGGAAAAGTTTTATGCCTTTCCGGTCGTTATTTTGCTAAATTCGTTTCTTATGACTAAATTTTGCACATCGATAAAGAAAACAAAATGATAAATCGTTGTAAAGCAAACAGCCAGTATTAATACACGTGTACCTTCGAGTAAATTACAAAAACATGTTATTCTACTATTTTCGATAAATCAAAATATACTAGAAAATTGATTCATTCATTAAGGACAGGACACTAGTTTTCTCTTAAATAATAGCATTTTTGTAACTTTTATAATAATTGGAGACACTTAAGTTGGTGATATTTTACAATATTATAACATTATTACTAAACATTTACCTTTTCTATTTTTTTTTCACAGCTCAGTATTTTTACAGAAGCGTAGTGCCAGCAGAAAAAATAATATTTCACTCCACCCTTCCTCCCGTCCTAATTTTTAGTGTTTAATAACTACCAAAGTAATTAGCCAAAACTGGTTATCGACCGGTATACTATTCAGAAAATAATTCTTAGCTTAAATAGTAAATTAAATATGTACAAAAGTTACTATTTAAGTTTTTAAAAGTTGATAGGCTTATAGAAAATAACTTAAAAAAAGGTTAATGTTTGGTATTTTTATAATATTGTAAAATATGATAACCAAAAATATTTTCAAAAAATAAATACTACAAAATTTCAATTATTCTAAGGCGTACTCATTCCATCTTTAAACCATGACGAAAACATTCGGTTTGAGTTCAATAAAATCTTTTTTATCAATTTTAAAAATACCCATTGTTCCGCTCAATTTGAAAATATTCAAAACGGACCATAAAATATGGTGGACAATTTTTAACAAATTAGGGGTTCCGTTTTAGGCCAATACGAATCAATAAGTCATTAATGATAAGACCATTGCATAAGTGTATAAATTATTTTAATAATTGTCAGAACATGAGGATTTTGTATAATTTCGCACATTGGCGCATGTGTTTCAAAAGTTACACCGAGTTCAAAAGAAAATAAAGATTTATATGTACGATTTTCTATGGAAGTATTATTTATCGAATTCTCGCCTAAGCATTTACTCGAAAACACCATTTTTTTACTATAGAAAAACACTTAGGTTGTTCGATGTGCGTTCCCATTTCCACTGTTTACATAAATTGAAATACACGAATCGACAAATTCAAGGTCTTAAGAAATTCATGGCCAACCCGAATTATTGACGATTTTCTAGAATAAGAAAAAAAAAACACTTTACGTGAATTGTTTTTGGTTTTTTTTTGTAATACAATGTTATTTCAAGGTCATTGTTATTTTCCCCCTTCGATAAGAGGATTTTAGGGTGATTTTGCAATATCTTATAGCAAATTGTATGAATAATAAATTTAGACATTTATGTTAATCTATTTTTTGTTTTTTAGTAAAATAGAATTTGATTAGACTTTGAAGTTTATAATATAATTTTAAAGATCCGTAGTCTTTTAAAAAGTTGGATTATTATTATTTTTATTTTTATAATACATAAATAGTCGCGTTTGCACTAATCGAAGTAATTGTTCAGACTTAAACGCCAAAACAGTTCACTAAACTGCCACAATCTACTATGCAAGGTTCCACTCTAAACTCAATGGTCATCCGAACCAACTCGTTTACAACCTCCCTAATAGTAAACACAATATTATGATACCGACCGTTGGGTCCTAACCTAACCTAACACGGGTCGATGTTACCAACCGACAGTAATTAGCGTCTGTTCGTTTCTCACATCTGGTACACCATGTTTGTAATTTATCCAGTATTAAAAAGTTACAGTGTATACAGATATAAAAAAAAGCCCACATCAGAGTTAAACCAACACCTTCGCCGCTCTGCATCGAAGCTAAAATATTTTTCTGGATTTTTATGTAAAAGGCTTCAAAAGTGGTCAAATGATATGTTTTTGAGGTCGGTGATTACGAATTTATTATCAGTTTTCAATTTCACTCAGCCAAAAACAACTTAAGTAAAAAAAAAAAAAATTAAATTTGTGTAAACTAAAAGTCAAAAGTGGTACTTGAGCACAAACCTTGATAGTATCATCCTGTATAGATATATATAAAATTGTTATAATGATTTGATACATTTTTTTAAAGATTTTAGGGGTTTTGGTCAAAATGTACGCAAAAACACAGTTTTCCGTAAATTAAAGAAAAACTGTAGTGCCAAATTTGTTTTCCGTTTAATATCTTATGGATACATAAAAGTTCTAACTAATGGCAAATGTTCAACTTAAAGGTCTTAAAATTACGGCTAAAACCCCAAAAAAACAAAAAAACTTGTACCCCCCCCCCTTAGGACAGTGGGAAATAGGTATAATTTAAATTTGGTAAAACTGACGTGTGCGGGCATACCAAATAAATATTCCTAATATATTTCAACTCGATCCGACTCTTTTTCTCGAAATTATAGCCAGTAAAAGTTCTAACTTAAAAACTCGTATGGTTTTTTTTTTTGTTTTTTCAAATTTCGACAGTGAAGAAGCAAACTTTTTCAACTTTTACTCCCTCAAAGTACCAACTAGATACAAATTGTGATTTATAGAGTTGCTATTCGAAGGAATTGGTCCAGTATTAAAAAAGTTATAGTGTATACAGATAAAAAAAAATCTCACATCAGAGTAAAACCAACACCTTCGCCGCTCTGCATCGAAGCTAAAATATTCGAGAAAAAAAAATTAGTGCTCAATTAAAAACCAATTACATAAAATGTATTGCTTTGTTTTTAATAGTTTATTGTTTAATAATTGCGTTTAACCTAACCTAACCTAAACCTGTTAATGTAAATAATAATTGACGTTTCTTATTAGTCATATAATTAGTATATTTTTATATAATTTGTGATGATTGATGAACGTCAATATTATGATCACTTCAACTGCAAGTTCAGAGTAGAAATTATTTAATTTGTATCATTAAATACCAAAAACAGTATTTTTAGTTTTTCCAAACAACGCACGTTATACTTACTTAAATGTTTGATATAGGTATATTTACCTTCACAGGTTTTTGAACAAAATTATATATTATTGTCGGTAGATACTCTTGTGAATCAATTTAAAAAAAACACTGATTTTTTTTTATAATTAATTAAGAAAAAAAATGTAATTTATAGGTGTATAACAATAATTTATTAAATAAAAATCGTTAAATGATTTACAATAAAATATTGTTAAATACGTATAATAATATAAATATTATTATTTTATTATTATTAAATATTGATTATTAGTTGTCATATTGAACGTATGGAACAGTGTTGTTGCTATCGTCATATGGATTGAATGCAATATTTCTATCGTCATTTGGACCAAATGCACTAGGAGTTGCTTGGTCGGCTGGTTTTCCAGTATATAGCCAGTTAGAAAATCCATCAGGATTAAATGTATTCTAAAAAAATAAATAAATAAAACATTTTATAATTTTTTTTAGATACTTAAAGAAACTACTGTTGTACAAAAAGTCCTGTAACACTCGAAAAATTCAAATTTGAGAGTAACTATTATTATGAAAAAAGAAGATTATAATTTTTTGACGGTGAAATTTAAAAAAAAATGTTTTATTAGTTTAAATTGGATTTTAGCCAAATTATGAGCAATATAACATTTTCAATTTTAGCTGGAAATTCGTGGAATGTCGCAGGATATTTAGCACAACTGTACCGACTACCGTTGTCATTTGGGTTTTTCCTAATTGAAATGTACACCGGCCATTGATTATAATTAAGGAAGGGGACTTCTAGCATTTGCATATTTGTTTTGCGCAGCCGTATAAAAAGGCCAACCATAAAGAAATTTGTTTTAGGTTATGACAAAGCCAAATCTGTAATTTTATGTTGCATATTTAGGTCTTTTTTGCTTTTTGAGGCATTTTTAAATTATATATGCTTTTTAGGGAGATTTTTTCGAACATTTTCTTAAAAAAAAATGTATTAAAACAATAAGCAGTAAAAAATGTCTAAAATATTGTAAATTTATTTTTAGGGTCAGAAGAATGAATATAAAATTATTAAAATAAAAAAATCAATTATTCAATATGCCTATCTTTAATAAATTATACATTAATTACAGTATTATTAAGTCAATAAATAGTAGTTTCATTAAGCCAAAGTTTTTATTCTTTTATTGTTCATAGTATAGCATATACATATAGTTTAATTTAGTCATTAATTGTTTTTCTTATTTTAAATGTTTTAATTAAAGTAATTAATTTGTTTAATTAAATCACTAAAAAATTTTTAAAGCATATAAATAGTGCATATTTTAGGGTTTTTAAGTGCATAAGTGCTTGCATATTTAGTGTTTTTTTAGAGCTACAAATCCTCTACCCTAATTATAATTTATAACTAATACATATTCGGTACAGAATAAATGTTCAAAACAAACCCAGTCATATTCGTTGAGTGTTTTATTTTCTTGAGTCCATGAGTTATCATCCTAATTTAAAATAAAACAAAATTTGATTAGTTTGTATTTTATACAAACGTAGAATATGTCAGTTTTGTTATTTAATTATATTATGAATATTTTCCTTTATACATATATTATATAAAATAAACCTATTTTTAGTCTATAATAAATAACAATAAAGCTATATTTCATTCGATATGAGATTATGAGATGTTTCATAATATCGAATATAAAATATTAGATATTATGATACCTCCTCTTACCTAATTAAAATATATGTTTATCATCACGCCTATATTAATATTAGATAAAACAAATTACTTGAATGAAAATTGTATTCATAATAAAAAATAAAACCATTCTTGGCTAAAAAATATTCTATCGATATATTATATAAAATATCTTTTGACTTTAAAATAGGTGTTTTTGCTCTAAAACTACTATTGACCGAGTAAAACATATTCTATGTAGCTGTGTTAAGATGATTTTTTTTTTAAATCACTGCCAAGAATGCTGTGATAGTCCGAAAAATAAACTACAAAAGAAGATTCTTAATTACTGAACTAATAATTACACATCACAGTTAATCTTAAAAATTATAATTTAACAAAAAATTGCCTATACTTAACTACTTAATTAATAGGGAGTATAACGTTCTCATAACTTTAAGCTTTTATCAACTGTTAAAAACTTTTTTATAATAATAATAATATTATTATTGAAAAATTTTACATTTAATTAACTTTTACCTCTTTATTATCGCAATTTATACTGCTAAACAATGCCTGGAAAATAAATCAAATATAATTTGATGATGAATAAATGTTAAGCAAATAGAATTTTTTAAAAGTTATAATTTGGAAAGTTTTATACTTAACAGGTAATATTAAAAATATCACAAAGAACATGTTGAATATTTTTTGGGCTACCATAATAGAACAATATGTTTAAACTGAAATTATGAGTTGGTCAAAATTCAAAAATTCACTATGGCTGCAAAAGAGGACTAATGTTTTCTGTTCAAACGGGTCCCTTTTATACTAAGTAACTTTAATTATAATACAAGGTTTAATGCGACCAAATAAGTTTCTATGTAGGTATCTTGTGACGTTTGTACATACGAAGTAGAATAACAACGACAGTTAAGAAAATATAAAGCGAAAAACAACAACACCATAATGTCAATACACAAAAAACAAGTACAGTATTTTTACAAAACTAATAATTTCTAAGAACGTAGTATGTTTTAGAGCGGATGTGTACTACTATTTCTAACTGCGCACATCACTCAACCTTTCTTCCCCTCCTGTCCTAACATCATTTAAACCACAATTATTATCCCCTATAACCTAAGTATCTATCTAAAGTAAAGCAAAGTTATTATTTATTAAAAAAGTAATTACCATTTAAATTTAAAAAATACTCTGGAAAATACCAAAAAAAAAGTAAAAATCGCATAATATTGTAAAAATAATCAAAATGACTTGACATTCGACAAAAAAAAATACGAAATTGAAATTATATTATAGATAATATTATATAAAATAGAAATTACGCAACCCAATAGCCTCAGGTACAACTTAGTTTCAAGCTCACTATATTATTTACATTCAGAATAGTAGTAAAATATTAATTATATGTGGTATAATATATTATATTGTTGGCCAAGTTAGCCATAATGATGCTTTCTTTATTTTAAATATAAATTAATGCTATACGTACACAAAATGTCTACAATTCTACTTTCTCGTTGTACCATATAATTAGGTACACAAATTGAGTAATCTGATTTCTTTATTAATTTGCTTCTTAAATTTGTCATTGCTACATTATTTTATTGGTGTTTAACATCTTAGGGCGCGGGAGGTCACCTGTCTACCTACATAAATTATTATAACAATCATAAGTAAACTTCATGCCGAATTAAAAACTGTTTTTAGATTGCTTATCGGATCACTGGTTTGGTCTGTATAATGGAATACAAATTATGTGTTTTGACTGAAAAACCGTCCGCATGCAATCCCCTTAATGCATTCTTATGATGCGAATAAAAAAAACATCTCTCATTTTCGATTATATTGAATTTCAGCGATGAGATTTATCATTTATACGTTAGTTGACATACTTTAGGAAAGGAGGAAATTTGTCTGTTACTCTTGTTATTTTTAGGTCCAATTTTACACTGGAAAATTATATAGTTGGTCCAACTAAAATTATGGTTAATATAGGGTCTGATAGGGACACAAAAGTCAATACATTTCTAGTTGAAATGACAAAATAAATAATTGGCCCAACTAAATGTATAGTTGCGCTAACTGTTTATTTAGTTATTCTAACTAGAATTGTATTGTGTCCTGTATTACCATAATTTTAGTTGGACCAATTATATATTTTTTAGTCAAAATTAAGGTATCTTATTTAATGATATTGCGTTAAACTGAATGATTTATTCTTGTAGGACGTGGAGGTGTATTTGATATTATTAATTAATTTTAAATAATATATAATTTTGTATAGTATGAACTAAGGCATGACTCTAGAGGTACTCATAGGCCCCGGCATAGAGTAATATAATGCCTCGCCCTCAAGGCTCAGACACTGATAACAATTAAAACGGGAAAGATGCTTATCACACAAAAACGCGGCGGCCATCTTCTTATGGCTACACCACTATAATGTTATTATATCTAAACATTATTATTTTTAGTTATGTAGAGATATAATATATTATAATACTAAAGATACTTTACAAAATGACCATCAATTTTTTGTTTCCATTGAAAATAATGTTACTTTCAAAACTTGAATGCGCATGCGTCGTGTGGTGCGGCAATTCCTGAACAGCGCTGTCGTGCCGGTGTACTGGAACTACATACCTGCTCCGTCTCGTAGTATAAGGTCTACACTTATAACAATGCTTTAGGCACCCCTGAACGCACAATCAATTTTGGCGAGCCACTACAATAGTTACTATACAGCTTTACAATAATCATTAGTTTACCGTGTTATCACCAAACAACGTAGGAAAAGGCAAAAGTGAATAGTATCAGCATTCGGCTCGACTGGAGTCCCATCTTTAATATTGTACGGTTTACTATTTGCTAAAATCGTTATTTGTAATAAACAATAGTACTTTAACTTTCGTAACAACTTTTCATTAATTTCCAGAATAACTGTAGATACTAAATGAGCAATAAAACGTTGACACGTCCGTCGTTCCAGCCTATGGCAAGATATACGTTTTGCTAATCGCAATGTTTTGCAATTGATTACCAGTCGTGTAAGTGGCCCGATTAATATGGCCCACCGGGGCATCAAGAACGATGGCTCCAAGTTGCTGGAAGTCTTGCAGAACGACTTCAAAAATTTATCCATGGAGACGAAAAAAAAATATCCACAGATTAAAGAGGTCGGATTTTGTATTATTATTATTATTGGTTTTTTACACTATCTATACCCTGTCTCTGAGAGACTTTGCCGGTTTTGCGCTTGTAGACTGAAGCTAAGCACCCGTCGAGGACAGGCTGGCAGACTGGGCGGTCTCTGGGGAGAACGCTAGTCCCACTGGGGTATGCGCAGAACAGCTAGTTTTCATTGGGTCGCAGCATGTTCACTCGGCGGATAGGGTATACTTAGTTGGGTTTTTATTATTTCCAGTGTCTTGAGTATTGTTTTTGTTTCTATTGACTTAAATTAACAACAACTCATTGTATTTATGAAAATATTTAGAGCATATTGTATTAAACATACCGCTAACCGTATTAATATAAATATAATTATTTTGTTTTATTTTCCACTGATAAAATGTTATTAATAATATGATTAATTATTTAAATGCAAACTGTATATATATATATATATATACATAGATAATATACATGTCCATTATTAGAGATCACTTAAGAGTTAATTGTTTAATAAACGATCAGGACTACAATGTGTTATCTATACAAGTTTTAATTAGTAAGGATGTACAAATGAGAAAACAATATTTTATACATGCTAATGGTAAATTGTATTTGATCAGATACCATTTTTTTTCAAACATGCCCAAAATTTCTAAACAAATAGTTTTGTTTTATTCAATTGTTTTTTTTTAAATAATATTGTAAAATTTATAATTATAGTAATTAATTTTTCAAATATTTTGATTTTTGTTGGGACACTAGTTCTTATATGTTTTGTTAACTGTAAACAAATGGTTATTTTTTATATTTAAAACTTTTAATCTAGTTTCCCAAAATGCTTGATATCTGCCATAAAATGTTGTAACTTCTATTCAAGCCAGTCTCCAAACAATAATTTATTTAAATATGCATGTTTTTTATTATCTGTATTATGATTTTATTGTTGTTTGTATTTTTAGGCATCTGAAGAAGCTATTGTCAAACTAAGAAATTCTATGTCTGACAGTCAACAAACACCCATTTATTATGTTATTAATCAAATTCTATATCCTATCGTTCAAGGCTGTGAAACAAAAGAACCTAAAACTGTTAAAGTATGTTTGTATTTTTATGTTACATATTAGGAAGAAATGCATAAATGTTACTTGTTAGAATAGAATTGCCTGGGCTAGTTTAGGGAGCAGTGAAATTACATAGTGGTTGTCAATTTCCTTTACTGTTGTTTCCTTTCTTAAAGTGAACTACCATTTAGGGTAATGTATAATACCAAACAAAACTTTGCAACTTCAGTGATCGTATTTTAAATAATCATACCCTAGTCTGTATTTATGTTTATCATCATAAATATAAAATATTATACAATTTAATACTACAACTTTTTTATTTTCTTAGATGTGTCTAGGAATGATTCAGAAACTCATTACTTATCAAGCAGTTGATCAAAAAGGCGCAAGATACATAACAGATACTTTATGGATGCTCATGGAATCTGGTACCGAACAAGTAAAAGTATTGCAGAGCGTTACTTTGTTATTGACTACTAATTCTGTGGTTGAAGGCGAAACACTTGCGAGGGTAATGATGTGTTCACTTATGAAATCTTACTTGCCTTATACAATATACCTACTTTTTAACAAAATAATTTCTACTTTTAGAATTTAGTATTGTGCTTCAGACTGCATTTTACTAAAGATTCTACTGTTATTAACACTGCCGGGGCTACAGTTAGACAGTTGGTGTCTTTAGTGTTTGAAAGAGTCATTTATGAAGACCAGCAAACTGATAATAATGATAATAATGAACAGAATCATAGTGAAGTGGATTTTGACGAACTGAAAGTATTATCTAGTGTGCCACCCAAAAGGTTAAAACCCTGTGCAGCAGATGCTTACCTCATGTTTCAAGTATGTTGTGTATTAGTTTTTTTGGTTTTAGTTATCTCATGGGTTGTCATCAGAGAGTTAATAATCATGTATTGTTTTTAAACAGGATCTTGTGCAGATGGTTAATACAGATCACCCGTATTGGTTAATTGGTATGACTGAAATGACGAGGACGTTTGGATTAGAATTATTGGAATCCGTGTTGGCTAATTTTCAATCAGTTTTCTATAAAGTATGTTATAATATATTATTTTTTGTAAAAATTAATCTTATCAAATATTTTTTTTCTACAGCATACGGAGTTCAGTTTTCTTTTAAAAGAACGAGTTTGTGCTTTAGTTATAAAACTGTTTTCCCCCAATATCAAGTACAGAATGACTGGTAGCGGTACTGTGTCATCATCTAATGTACAACACCACCAAATGGCCCCCTTGGATAAACCTCATTTTCCTATTACAATTAGATTATTGCGAGTTGTTTCGATTTTAATTAGAAAATACCATAAGTTACTTGTAAGTGAGCAATTTATTATTTAATATTGAACCTTAAGAACTTCCTACTAATAACTTATGTTTATCAATAGACAACTGAATGTGAAATATTTTTATCGTTGATCGTAAAGTTTTTGGATTCGGATAAACCAATTTGGCAACGGTCAGTTGCACTAGAAGTATTGCACAGGTTAATCGTCGAACAGGATTTGTTAGCTTCGTTTTGTGCTTGCTACGATCTAAAAATGCATAGTACTAAAATATTTCATGATATTGTCAATTCCTTGGGAAGCTATGTACAGTCATTGTTTCTTAACACGTCTCCTATGATGATGAACAATATGGGTATAAATAGTATACTTCCGTTAGTAATATTATTAATAAACCATTTTCATAAATAATATTTTGTACAGGTAATCCTTCTGTACAAGCACAACCACCTACAGTATTGGCTGGAATGCCGGTTGGTCCTGGAGTATCCCCTCAACCAGGTTTTTTTTCTAGAGGCATATGGTTGCCTGTAGTCATTAACTTTCCAACTGGTCAAGCCAAATCAATTTAGTAAGTGTTCTAAGAACACACTTAGTTTGATAATAATATGACATTAATTATAACTAATATTAGTAAAGTATAATATTGCTTACATATATGTACATTTTTTAGTCTAGACATGAATGATAAGGTTGAACCACCACCTGTACCTGATGGTTATGGGATCTCAGTGGCATATGCATGTTTGATTGATGCAGTACGTGCAATTCAAATAGAAGTACAGCCTGACATTATAAGTGGGGAAAATTTGGACGAAAATTGTACTAATGCAACAACTTCAGGCACTACTTCTATCACTATTGAAACTAATGGTGTATCTGAATCAAACGAATGCAAGAATGAATTACACAAACAACTTATTGATTCTAGTTGGTGTGGACTGTTAAGCGCATTCAGTCCTTTAATGGAATCATGGTTTGTTTATTTATTAATATATTAAACTTGTGTTACTTATTAACAAAACTTTATTTATGAACTAAAAGAAAGTAATGCTTAGCAAAAAGTATTAATTTTATATTTATTATTATTTAGCACCGATGAAAGTATTATGGAAAATATGTTGAAAGCTATGCAAGTGTACACGAGTCTTTGTGGCCTGTTGGACCTTCAAGTGCCACGAGACACATTTATTACAGCGGTGTGCAAAGCATGTTTACCACCACATTATACTTTAACAGTTCTGAATACATCAGCTCAATCAATAGGTATGAATAATTTTAATTATTTTTGAGTCTTAATACTTCATTATTTTAATAAACTATAATTATTTCATTATCCTCAAAATAACTTATACAAAAAACATTATTCATATTTTATATTATTATTTCTTAATAGATGTGTTTGAATTATTCTTACTATACTAAGCTAATGCTAGTCATTCTTTATTACTTAAGAATATAAATACCTAAACTGTTGTTAAAAAAATGGCTTTGTGTAATTTTTAAAAACGTAATTAATTGTTCATTTAAAGTGTATCCTATTAAATATTGATTTGTCTTCTTTAGGTTTTCAGTATTCTAATGATGATTCTCAATATAATTCATATGGAACAGAATCGGATTACAAACAACAAGTAGTTGCTGTTGGAACACCTTTAGCTACTTTATCGCTAACTTCATCTGGTGAGTTATTGGCTATTTCTTTATACTTGTCCAGGAAATTATTTTTTCTTACAACTATATCTTTAATTTTAATTCTAGGACTTAATCAAGGCCCCGTTATGCTCACTGCTAAAAATTTGCAGTGTATGAGAGCTTTATTAGTGCTGGCACATTGTCATGGTTCAATATTAGGTTCATCATGGCACCTTGTATTGACAACACTACAGGTATTTTGGAAAAGAAAAATGTTAAATATACCTATATATTGAATTCTAGGTAACAGTCAATTTGTTATAGCATCTCGTATGGATTCTCGGTCTTAAACCTTCAACTGGCGGAAGCTTAAAAGCAAGCCGTCAAGGGTCTGATGCTAACGCTGTTATTACCACAGCCGTAATAGCTGATTTGCCGGTCCTATCAACAATGCTTAGTCGTCTGTTTGAATCAAGCCGATACTTGAATGACGTGGCTTTACATCATTTAATTGATGCACTTTGTAAATTATCTCACGAAGCAATGGAATTGGCTTACTGCAATAGGGTTGGTTTAGAAATTAATTGACCTATTGAATGTTTTTTTAAATGTTAGTTTGTTTATTTATAATTTTAGGAACCATCGTTGTTTGCTGTCGCTAAACTTTTAGAAACTGGTCTTGTAAATTTGTCACGTATTGAAATTTTGTGGAGACCATTAACTAATCATATGCTGGAAGTGTGTCAACATCCACATATTCGTATGCGTGAATGGGGAGTCGAAGCAATAACATACTTGGTCAAAGCTGCATTGCAATTTAAATATCAGCCACCATTGAAGGATAATCAGGTATGGTAGTAGTATCATTATTAAGTTAACTATTTAACTGTGGAATAATAATTGTGTTATATTTGATTAGCGTTTACAAACATTACTGTTGAGTCCTCTATCTGAATTGTCATGCGTAATGCATGGTGATGTTAGACAAAGACAATTGGAATGTGTTCTACAAGTGTTACACGGTTCCGGAGAAACATTGTCTCATGGATGGCCACTGGTCCTCAACATTGTTGGTGCAGTTTCCGATAGACACGGGTACTCCTTTTTTATACCTTTGAATATTTGTTTTTTAATGCATAAATAATAGGTATATTAAAATTACATTTTTTTTTTTTTTTTAGTGAAAATTTGATAAGAATTGCGTTTCAATGTCTTCAATTAGTTGTTACTGATTTTTTGCCTTTGATGCCTTGGAATTGTTTACCCCTTTGTTTAGAAACCACATCCAAGTTTGGTTTGCAAACACGTGAACTGAATATTTCACTAACGGCCGTTGGGTTAATGGTAAATTAAGTTTGATAGTTGTTGTACAATGGATGTACAAATATACAAACCATATTTTTTCTTTTTATATTTACAGTGGAATGTAGCAGATTATTTTTATCAAAATAAAGATAAATTATCGCAATCACTCTGTGACGGTTCAGTAGTGTTTCCAGATTTTCCTGGAGTATCTGAAATGCCAGAGTTCGATAAACTTTGGATGTGCTTGTTCACCAAATTGGGTATGACCACATTAATACAAATGTGCACTCGGTTACTGTTGGTGTACAGTTATTAATTTTTTTTTAATTTTATCAGGCGACCTGTGTATTGATCCTAGACCGGCCGTTCGTAAATCAGCTGGTCAAACATTGTTTTCAACTATATCGGCTCATGGGGGTCTTCTCAGCCAATCATCTTGGAATGCAGTTTTGTGGCAGGTAATGCGTTAGTGATAGCGTATGTAAAACTGGTAATACAATTATTAGAAAAAAAAAAAGAAAAAACTGATATTTGTTATAGGTATTATTCCCTTTAATGAACAAAGTTCAAATATTATGCAATTCGGCTAGCGATACCAAAGTAGAGTCTGGTGGAAATATACTTATTCATCATTCTCGTAACACTGATCAAAAACAATGGGCTGAAACTCAGGTTGGTAAAATATACTGTTGATTGTTATTGACACAGTGAGACATATAGCATATTATTATTTTTATTGATTGCTATACGTATAATTTTGTGTCAAAGGTTTCAACACTGTATGGTTTGGCACGTGTTTTTAATGCTGAAAAATACACAATTTGTAAAGTTGGAGACTTTATAAAAGCCTGGTCATATTTGTTAGAGTTTGTGGAAAATGCAGCAACAAATAGGAATGTGGAGGTAAATTGTATTATTAGTTCTCTGATATTAAATTGGTTTAAATCTAATTTATACTAACAAAACTATTGTAGAAATTAAATTTAGTTTAAATTAGTTAATAATTAAATCTGAAGTTTTTTTACCTCAAGGAATTGTACTCAGATAATTGTACACTTAGGGAGGTATCCTACTCTTGAAAAAATTTGCAGTTGGATTCAAAAAATATATTATTATTTAAATATTGTAATCAACTATTTTTAATAATTAAAATCTGTAATTTATAATGATAAAAATTATTAAAAACCTTATTTATTTGCTTCAAAAAATAGTTCTAACCAACACGTTTATCTTGAGTAAACTTCTATGGGGTGAGAGTTTGGGTGGCCACTAATGTGGCAGCCCTTACGCACTAGTCACGATTTGCAACTCGGTTGCTGACCTTATCTCTCTGGCGGACAACTGTCTGGAAAAAGAAATGGTCATATCGTCGATGTGGAAGACCAAAACCACCGCACCAAAACCGCTTTCCTAGGACCCAACTCTAGCTGTTTAAAAATATATTGTATTTTCCTAATGTACAAATAATAATAATAAAGAATATAGTATACGTTTTCATTTGAATGTTATCTAAGTACTATTTTTTAATGTTGAGGTGTCATTGGCTGCGTTGCGTTCATTGCACGAGTTGCTGTATATAAGTGACCCCAAAGAAATGGACAATGAATGGCGAGAAAACAATGCCGAGAAACATGTTGAACTACCGGTAGAAATATGGACTATTACCTGGAAAGTTTGGTTACGAATAGCTACAGAAAGCCATCAAGCGGATCGCATACCTTCTCAGTCATTTTTAACAGCGCTTGTACAAATTTTCCCATGTATTTTTGTACACATTAAAATGAGGTTTGAAAATACACTACAATTAAATTTATAATTCCAATATTACATAATTAATTTTGCTCTTAAAGATTCTCTGAAACGGACTTGGTCAATTTCTTTCGTGTACTTGATATGACTGCGGAATATCCAGTGCGCGGTGAAATGACTCCAACAATGCTTTCTGATAATATGGCTCTTACACGCTTACAAGAGGAAATATTGCATTGTTTAGATCTTTTACAAAAAGAAACACTGACTAACAAAGATACATTAAATAAATTCATTTGCCCTTTGTTTGAACAAGTTTTAAAATTCTGTCGGTTTGTCTATCGATTTCCAGATGAGATAAATGGTTCCAAGTCGTCCGATCAAAAAGTAATATTATTTTTTTTTTTTTTATAATTGGTTGTTTAATATTAATAAATAAATGTATATGTATTGTTTTGTGTAGTACGATATCAATTATATTGCATTTGGTGAAAAATCCATCCTTGTGGTGGTCGATCTCTATCGGATGTCAGCATCTGAACCAGTTGTCATTAAAGGCAGTATATTAAAACAAATTATCGAAGTATGCAAATAATATTACACCAACTATTTCCTATAATACAATTATTCTATAGTTGTTTTTTTTTTTTAAATAATTTTTATTGTATTAGATATTTTCCATACCATTAGCAAAGAGGTACGAAACAGGTCAACAAAACACGTGGAAGCTTAGCGTTGTCAGTTTGTTGAACGTTTTAGCTATTGGAATACCTCTGGCTAGAAATAATTATAAAGACTTTTTGTCGATATGGTCGCCTTTGGCTACTGTACTAGAGGATATATTATTTCCAAAGACGTGAGATTATTTTTTTGATAAAAAATTGTTAATATTATTTCAAATTTGTTTTGATACAATGTGTTTTTTATATGTAGCATGCCTTCAAAGCATCAAAAAGTCGATGAAGCTAATGAAAATGAGGCTATTGATTGCCAGTTGGTAGAATTCCTTAAGGAAGAAATTCTATCACAAGCTACTAATGTACCGAGGGAGTTTATTATGAGAATAGTTGTATTACTAAATAAGGGCTCTGTGTTGTCCTCACATACAAACTACTCTTACGGTAAATGGAAAAAAAAAATAATACCACTAATTATATATCATTGCTGTTATAATATTAACATTCATGTTTGAATAGGTTATGAAGTAGATTGTCGATTAAGAGAGGAATTTGCCAAAGTGTGTTTTGAAACATTATTACAGTTCTCTCTTGTAGATGGAATTTCAGTAGATAACGGAAATTTGTTTGTTGTAAATAACGCTACTACTGACGACGAAAATACTGAAGTGATAACAGGAAAATTGGCAGTTACAGCGCTTTTGCATCGGTTTCAAGAAGTCGTAAAAAAATATTGTCATGACCAAAATTTAACAGGAAAATGTCCTTTACCAAGGTACAATTTTGTGATAATACTATTTTGTGATTATTTAATTTATATGTGCATTTTTTAAGATATAGGATGTCTGAAATATCGTTTGTTTTAAAAGCGATTACTACTCTTATAATTTCTCTAAAAAAGACACCTGATAAAGGTATAATGAATTTTCTACATTTATCCTAAAAAAAAAAGTGGTAAAAGGGGTTTTTAATTTTTTAATTATATTTTAGTAAACAAAGCAGTTTGGGATCAATTAGTTCAACTGTACCCTTCTCTCGTGCAATGCATACCATATACAAACTCTCCTCAAGTTACGGACTCCTTGACGGAAGCTCTACTTCAGTATTGTGATTTGCTCAAGTCTCCTGTTGAATAACTGCTTACTGTAAAATACACTGCCGTCATGTTTCATTATTTATACAGATAGAATATGCTTACATAATAGAACCACCGGATAGCTTTCATCGCCATTCCGTATTTTGTGTACATAAATCATGGATTTATTGATTTTGTTGTATTATTATTTTAATTTATCAACCTCGTTATTAATGTTAGTTTTATTTATGTTTATAATAGTATTCACTGTAAATTTAATTTTTTTTTCATTTTATGGTTACTAGCCTTTGGCCTAATTTTTTTTAAGAAAACATTTTTATCGTTGTATTTATACAATAATTGTTAATAATATTGGCTAAATAATTGTGTTAGTTAATATAGGTTTATCCCCCAACGATCCATCAGTTAAATTCGTAATTATCACAAATCACTCTACTTGTGCCATAGTAATATGGTCATGTAACTTTTTATTATCTATATAGGTATGTCTGTGATTGTATTGAGTTGAAATCTGATTGGTATTATTCATTAGGTAGTGACATTAAAAATTAAAACTTTATATATTTTTTTTTTATAGAGTTTAAAGACTAAATGGGATTTAGCAATATGTTTGTGTTAGTTTTTAATATTATCAAATATTTTGATTGATCAATTTTTTTACGGTTTTCAAATTAGTATCGTTGCTGAAAAATATTTAGCTATTTTTGTAACGCATTGGGTTTTTATTGGAAATTAACAAACCGACTCAAAGAAATTCAACACGGGCATTTTTTTTTACACTTGTGTATTACATTTAAATTAAAAAAAAAAACAATCTATAAAAAGGTTTTAATTTGAATGCATTCAAAACCCTATGTTACAATTTTAGACTTGTTTAATGGTTTATGTATGTGAAAAAATGTAAACATTAATTAATAATTATCTTTTAAATAATTACTTTGTACGTATACATTTTTTCTAATATTTTCATTGCCTATGCTGGTTATGATTGTAGACTGTATTTGTAAATTTGTTATATTACCTATTTGGGTCTTCAATAAGCTATGTGATAAGAAACTATGCCATGCACATACATGACAAAAATCCATATTTCCTTAATAGTTATTATGGTACATAATTTAAACAAATACAATTTTTTTTTTAATGTATAAAAAGTATTATATACGTGTACTAGCATCGTGCGATATTCATTTAACATAGAAAATTAACACGTTAAACTTGGAATTGTGTACATTCACTAGTAAATTGTATTATGGTTATGGTAATTATCTTTATTTTATACACTTATTCGCTAGTTTTCTAATAAAGAATTAGAAGATGACAACGAGTAGGATGAAATCGATATTCACATGGTCCAAAAAAAATAAGTTGTGATTATTTCAAACCATACCAGAACAGGCTAGATTAAACATTGAAAGTACAGTAATTAGTATAAAAACTAACAAGTCCAGTTATTGTATTCTATAAGTAGGTACCAAAAATACTGATGGTTTTTGAGTTGTATTTTATTTTATATTATTTTGTGTCAAAACTCGCATGTTTCGAACTTCAACCTCAAAAATAAAAATAATAAATAAAATACAAAAAGTACTTTTTTGGGCTAAAATTAAAAAAGTTCATTCGAAAATAAAAAAATTACATATTTTCAACTTAGAATTTTTTTAAAATAGTCGAATCAGTTCCAATTAGGTATAGAATATTTTTTAAACATAGTACTTTTGAAAAACGTTGATAAATTTAAAAAAATATCAAACACCTTATGCCCTAGAAGGGGTTGAATTTTTTCTCTTTGTTTCGCTTATTAGGGAAAGTTTTTTAGGACTAAAGGTCTCAAAATTATACTGAAGGTAGATTTAGAGTAGGGCTTTAACAAATACAATTATCTCAAAAATCTGTTGTATAATTTTTTTTTATTAAGGAAAAACAAAAAATAAATGTGGGAAAATCGGTAAATTGTGTACTATATTTTTTTTTTAATTTAATAAAACTCTAATCAAATATTTGATGCGGCGTTATCAACTTTTGCGCGTTTTCAGAGTTCGATAACATGATGTTTTAAAAGCCGATTGTCAAACAAAAAAATACTAGTCAGTTAGATTTTTGCTGCAGATTTAAAAAAATGTAAATACATCTTTGTAGTTTAAATAGTTTATAAGATATATTGAAATTGAACTTAGTACCATATATATATATATATATATATATATTAAGGTTTTTTAGGGTCAAAAATGGTCAAATTTTTTTCAAAATAATTTTCTATGTAACTATGACCCCAAATCTAGATACACTTTTTTTTTTTTGAGAAATATAATTAATTTATGCAGAAAGGGGTTAATGGATTCATCTAAATAAAAAATTGATTCGAACAATGCTTAACTCAGGTTAGTGCGCATAGTTTTTATTATAATAGCGTGTGTGAATTAGTGACCTAGGCATTCATGAGAGGTTAGGTTATATTTGGGTATACATAATCGCTTTCTGTTAAGCGAAAAAATAAATTTATATTTTTTTCAAAAAGCTGAGACTATTTTACATAAACTGATTCAAAAAATTGTTTTTGCGGCCGACGATACTAGAAAAAATAGCCGAGAAATAAAATTGATAGTAAATAATTTTATCTTTCTCCTATAAAATTAACATTGTGTGACTTAATAAAAATGGGCATGATAGCAATTAGATTGCCTAAGCATAACGCCTTGAAAATGAACTGTTGGTCACTTGTTTGGTTTTAAAAATATGTGATAATTGTTAACTTACTGTTTCAAATAATTTGTCGTTTACATAATAATTGTTTCGTACGGGTTTGTTTACAGCAAAAATAACTTACACATTTGTCATTATGTATTTAAAGGGTTAGGGACCCTGAATTTGCCCCCCTCATCTCACCACTACCTTTGGTGGTACTACAACATATGTATACGATTTTTGAATATTTCTACTGTGTAAAGCGACGTATTATATTTTGGTGATTTATAAAATATTTAATCTGGTCGCTTTCTCGGTTGTTTGACCTTAAGCAACCGATCAAGGGACGACTGAAAAGATAAAGGTACAAGGTCGTACCTTTTGTCTGTCACTCTCTAAACGCACTTACATGGCTGCCAAATCATTTTTCTTTGACCTGAGCATTTATAAGATTATAGTTTAACGTGTAAAACCGAGTTCTCACCACCCAAAGACCGGTTTCTTTTTTTAACACCGGTCGTATTTACTTATTACTATTTATTATTTAGTTTTTTGCCTTACGCATTTTGCCCGAATGTCAGTCAGGTATTGCGCGTCAAAATACATTTATTTAACAATAATAATAATAATAATAAAAATCCTTAATACACATATTTTACAGCAGTATCTCGGACTCGTTATTAGTGCTGTTACAGAACAGTGAAACCGAAAACCTTATTATTCATTCTATGGGCGATATCAATGGTTAATGTGCCATTGCTATACTATTATTGTGTTGGTATTATCAGAAATGTTTACACAAAAAAAACCCATTAGTAATGTCCAACTACTGTGTTATTAAACAACCGGTCAAAACGAGTGTCTTGTCGAAAAACGATGCTTATAGTGGCTATTTACTCTAATCGAATCATTCATATTATTATTATTATTACCTACACTATATTTTTACATTTTACTATAACGGTAAGTTGAAATTTTTAGTCACATTTAGCGTTGTACAGTTTTTTTTTTTGAAAATGTTCTATGGTTAACCTTTGCGTAAAATGAAAATTCATTAATTTAATTATTTTCCGAAATAAGTTTATTGGATTATCTATTATTATTATTGGGAAAAAATAAGATTTGGCTCAACAAGGCCAGACAGTTTCAAAACTGCTTTAAACACTAAGGAAGTTCAAATCTCATAGCTCTCAAAAAAAGTAGGCATTCAATCATGCTCAGTCCATATAAGTAACGATTTAAGGTCTTATCCAAATTCCGTGGTGGTTCTTTTATAAGTTTTAAAACGGTCTGAACTTTCTTAGCCCTCTCCCTCTAGTCGCGCCTATGAACAAGATAGTAATATATTAATACATTTTACTGAGCGTTAATATTTATAGTTTATCACGACATTTCTATGTAAAATGAAGAGTTTGATTATACACCATATAATTAATAATGCTAATACAACGTCATAACGCGTTTTTACTGTGTCAGCTGTGGCTATTTAATATGGACGGGTTGTTGTTAACACGAACGAATAAAAATTCCAATCGGTTGTCTGAAATAAAAAAACCTAAGACACCCGTGTGCCTGATATTAATGATTATGAGCTTGTCTCTTAGTTATTTGTGTTCTGTACATTTGTTAACAATTAACAAAACAGGGCAAAGGGGAGTAGAAAAACAAAGTTTTATTTTAAACTAATTTAGTCCAACATATAAAGAAGAGGTATATGATGGGTCAAGTACAAGAATAGAAGAGAAAAATAAGGATATCATTTTTTTGTTAGGCAGTGAGCTTAGTAAAAATGTTTTACAAATCTGAGGTTCAAAAGCCAAAAATGCAATATGATTTGGATTCTTCTTATTATGTGTAAATATTTTTAATGTTTTTTAATTTCTTACGGTCTTCGACTTATCCTAAAATCGAACAAAAGTACCGAGGAAGAGTATAGTGCTAATATTATTATGGTTTTTTTATTTATCGGCGAGCGGCTTTAAACAATATATTATGTAGGTAGGTAAATGTCTTTGATTTGCATATAATTATCGAAAAATAATAATATTGGTGTTAATGTTGTGGTTTTTCGTTTTACAGTTGGTAGAGAATAATGTTGTTGGGTTGAATTGGTACTATCGGCACGCCCTTGAGTTGTATTTTAGTATACCTATACAGTCTAAAGGTTTCGGTGTGTTGTGTGTGCGGCAGCCGGTCTAATGTAGTCATGTAGTGTTGACGCATTAGTTTAGTTGCAGTCGGCTGTCCGGTGATAACATGGTTGTTTGTTTTCATATTCTTACGGCTAAAATGCTCTTATAATAATAATAGTAATACACTATTATGTTTAGCACAAAAGGCAAATTAGACACGAATACGATTATTGTTGGTTAAAAAAATATTCGCAACGTTTACTTTTGAGTAAGTTTTTTGCAATATCGCTTTAATAATAATGCTGTTGTTATGTATTATTGCTTTTCGGAAGTAACTAATAAAGAAAATAGTACCGAAATATTAACAAACGACCGAAAGTACATATTAGAGCATTTTATTGGTCTGCTTAGTGCTTATGGCGTTTTTTAAAGAATAATATTTATAATCGGTAATAAAAAACAACAACAAGTGATAACAAAATACAACGTAAGCGTCCCGTGACGTTACTTCGACTTGATTCGATTAGATTAAATTAAGAACTATATTATGTATCTATTTTTTTTTAATTATTCAGCAAGACAGTTATTTAATAAACGGAAGTTAATTGATTGGACGGATACATTACTTGATCTTTTTTGTACTTAAAACGTAATACAATTTTAAAAACTATTATTATAAAAAAAAAAGGAATGATAAAAGATTCTTTAAGTTTAAACCTTAAGAGGGCGTCGCACCGATGATTTTCAATGGTAAAACATGTTTACGCTGACTGTAAATAACTAGCTTAATTTTGGTTTTAGAGTAAAAGCACCAATTAAAAAATTAAAAGAGAACAATATTCCGGAGGGCAAAACGGCGCGTTTTAAAAAAAAAAATCATTTATTGCAAAGTTACAGTCATTTAAAAATGTTAAAATAATCGATATTTCTAAACCATGTATTGAGCGTTATACTTGGAATAATGAAAAAAACGCACCTTCTTGCCCTCCGGAATATTATTTTCTTTTAATTTTATAATGGGTGCTTTTACTCTAAAACCAAAATTAAGCGAGTTATTTTTAGTCTGCTTAAACATGTGGAGATAAAAAAACATTTTTAAATCGCTTTCAAGGATGCTGTGATAGTCCAAAAAATAAATTAAATACCAAAATAGAGTCCTAGTTATTGAACTAATAATTACACATCACAGGTTTAACCTTTAAATTAAGATTTTGTAAAAAATTGCCTATACTTTACTCCTTAAAAATAGGCGGTGCGACGCCCTCTTAAGACTTCTACGATACCCCAGGAAATACATGAAGACTTATTAAAAAATCAATTAGGAAATGCCTTAGGGAAATGGTGATTATAATATCGCATCCAAACAATTAAAAACAATTGTTTAATGATTTTGTTTTTGAACGTTTATGAAATTATAATACTATATTATTATATTTTTTTAAATATTGTAAAAAAAGATTTTTTTGTTGTGCATTTTTATTTTTACTTACATAATGTCTAATTTATTTTGAATAGTATGGACAAAGGCCAGAGCTAACGATAATCACATTGTTTAATTAATTTTTAACTTAATGTGTTGTTCGAATTATGATGTATGACAAGTTATTTTACACATGAACTACTATAATTATGACGAAAAACGTGTTCAGAATAAGTATGTCACGTCATCTTGATATAATCTAAATAATATACAATAAACAATAGTTTAATAAAAGTACAATGTATAATATGATAATAAATATCCACAAACAATATAATACTTTGAATGAGTTATTTAAAAAAAAATTGATCAAATGTTCATTAAACAAATACAACTAACATCGACCAAATGTTTGACATAAGTAAGCTTATACTTTTAATATTGGAAATATTTACTTGATTGCTTTTAAAACATTTCTTCGTGTAGTAAGGCTATACATTTGACGTATAAATAAAAAGGTATTTTATTGGCCTAAAATTTAAAAAAATTGTTTTCTCTTTAAAATCGAGAAAAGCCACCCAAAAATTAACCACTTAAACAGTTAAATAAAGACGTATTTTCAACTGTAAAAAGTATTTCAAATTTTCTATTATTTGTATTATCTACAAACACTCTTCCTCTATCTTTGAAGTTTCACTTGTAATCAGTAATTGTGCCCACGCTGTAGCCCGTGTCTGATATGGCCACTCAATGGTAAATGGTTTAGTACACTATATAATAGACAGTTAAACGGTTATTAAGTAGTTAAAACAAAAGCGCTTATTACTTTATTATTGTCAATAACATTTTTCGTTAGCTACTTAGTATTGTGATTATCTATGCACTTATTCGTTAACTCGATTCGATAATTATTTAGATAAGAACTACACCAAACAGCAGCATGTACAGTAGTGCAAACTCGCTGACAAAGCAATTGGACAAATTAGGAGTACTACCGGACGGTCATGATCTTAGAACGAGTTGTACACTAAACGAAGAGCGATGGCTTCGCAATTGTATACTCGAAACATTCCCTATAGTAAGTGATGAATAAATATTTTAATCTAAACAACGGCTATGAAACGTTTTTCGTCAAACGCATTGATAACATTGTACTCGGAACATAAACACTTAAAATAGAAACTAACTAGAACTTTTATGTACACACTTCATTATTGCTTTTTCCAGAACTGTTACAACAACTTCGATACATGAAATAATGGTTGGGCTTTGTTTAGTTTTAGACGAACTATGTTATATAACTCATAGTGACTTTGATACGCAAGTAACTTACAGATTTTTAAATTAAGTGGATTGCGTGCGGTCTGTTTTTAAGGAGTTTTCTATAGGGAATATTTAAGAAAAAAAAGGTTTTAATAAATTTCGACTATGTCAATTAATTAACCGGGTTATTTGTATAAATTACAAGGTATTTTTTTAAATTTTAATTCTTTTTTTCTATGAGTAAAAGCCATTTTTGTTCATTTTAGACCAAAAAGCCAGACAAAATTTCGACTACATTCGAATTTTTTGGCTACTTTACTATGTTATGTAGAAAGACGATTTTCATTTAAAAATTTCAGTTTCTTGTCAGACTACCTAATTAGTATCATGCACAATTTTCAAATTTATCATTTTAAACTTTTTTCTCATAGCTTTAGTGTGATTTTTCAATATTGTTATAACAGTTGTTAGTCATCTTTTTCAATAATTTAGTCCACTAAAAATAGTCCTAACGATTTCATCATTTAAAAATATATTACGTTTTTTTAGATTTTTCTCCATTAATTTTGTTCATGGTTTAAAATAGACCGTAATCCGTATGAGGTAAAGTGTTTAGGATCTGGGACAATAAGCCAATAATATTGTCTGCCCTTTTTTGCACTGTGGAAAAAATTAAAGCGATCATAGTGCTATAATAAGTGTATCGGTATTTTCGATTAAATCACTTGGTGTTCCGTTTTATTGTATAGCAGGAGGTCGCAAGAAGTAAAATGTTATGAAGTAAGCAAAAAGACGAGCTGCAGTATGTCCATAATGACGAAATTAAATTTCTCTGGTTCATATTTTTAATTTGTTTCACTACTGCAACCATGTGATATATTATCATATATTATAACTTTTGATTCGGACTTTGTTCTGATATTAAACTGTGCAGTGTTTAACGACATAAAAAAAAGTATTGATTTGCGTTTAAAGTGGTCACACTGTCGTTCGCCTTCTTTTTTACTTCGTTAACGAGTACAGGACGTTAATATGAGGTTACATCTGTGTACATTTTTACTCTATTCGTTGTATAGTGTCCAATAGCCAAAATCGAGTCGGTCAACCATAAGCAAATGTATGGCATGTACTTGCTGCGCAAAGCAGATCTGGAGCTACAGGGTGATGTAGAAGAACGACTGCTGTACCACGTGACCAGCCAAACCAACGCATTGGCATCGATGGATAGCGGTCTGGACTGGCGAAGGACGAAAAGGGCAAAATTCGGCAAAGGCGTTTCGTTCAGTGACGATGCGAATTATGCCAACTTTTATGCGGACAACAGAGGACCAGGTTTGTTCTATATTATTAAGTGTATATTGTGGGATCTGAAAAATCTAGGTATATTATTAGGTTATTCCAGGTATATCCAGGGATATTAATTTTGCCTGCTGCAAGTCCCCGTTTTTAATATTTTAACATTATACATATATAATTTTCAAATTACACATTTTGGAAAAAGATATATTATAATGAATGATATAATTGTTTGTCCTTCATCATATTAGAATATGTCTTTTGTCAAATGGTCGACAATATTAATTATTATAATTATTATTCTTAAAACATTTTTCAAAAGTAGTTTCTTATCACTTGTCTTTTGGTCTTTTATCGTGTTTCTCTTATCTTTAGCTGAAAGTGAAAGTGTAACGCGAGAATTGCGACATGAAATTTCTTGTACCCAGCCCAATAACATATCCATGTTAAAATACATGTTACGTTATTTCTAATAGTCTTTATAAGAAATTTATTAATTACCTACATAATATGTAAGTAGCCTTGGAAAAAACGCAAATTTATAAATAACCAAATACTTTCCAGATTACTTTAGACAAAAATTAAAATTAGGCCTATATTTTATACTTATTTTTATTTTTCGTTGAGTCAACTGCACATTTTAAATTTCCTACCGCACAATTATTGCGCCTAATGCACAGGCATCAAGATAAATAAGTGGATAAATCAACAGTGATCAATGTTAGCTTGTGAAACGCAAAACCTACCAAGCGTGCAGAATAGATGATATCATGTACGGTTAAAATTGTTCAAATAAAGCAATTATTATCTGTCTGTGACTAACATTATTCGTTAAAATAATATCGATTGACTATTTACTATTTAACATGTTAACATGTTGTACGTTTTGTTCATTCAGACAGCCGTGCCATCCTGGTGTGCTCTGTGTTGATAGGCCGGTCGCATCGGCTGCCACCTTTGAGGAACAAAAACGCCGTACACAACATCAAGTGCCCGCCGGCCGGATGCGACACGACGGTGAGCTCTTCGAAACGGGTGTACGTTAAGTACAACGACTTCGAGTTCTATCCCAAGTACATAGTGTACTACGTGAAGCCGGATCTGAACCAAAGTAGGCTGTTGAAGGAACAAAGGCACAACGCGCAAGTCCGGCAAATTTCGGCGACGGAATTCCGAAAACCGACCACATCGGCTCCGGTCGTTCGCACGCATTCGGTTTACCACATCAAGGCCCAACCTGTCCTGCCCTCGAGCGCACACACCGCCTATCCACAAAATATGTCTACCGGCCATCGAAACACAGTGACCACCCCTATCTACAGGGACACGGAGCATCACGTGCCGTTCTACACACGGACCGTCGTACGTCCGACGCCTCCCGAACGTCCTCCGTTAAACAACAACTCGTGTTTTATACTTTGAAATGGACAAGTCAAAATTGTTTTCTTAAACAAGAGGCGCTCAGAAGCCAAACCGATTAACTCCCTAAAAATGCAATTTTTTAGCACAGGCAGTTAAAGTTATTTGAAACAATGCATTTGTAAGCACAGTTGCCAATTTTCTCAGCGCACTCTAGTGGTGAAAAATTAAACTTCGGAGTTATTTATCTTGGCCACTGAAAATTATACACTTTTTTAATCCGACCATGCTACTATTCGCAATTTGAAAAAAAGTGGACTTGATCGATTTGGCATCCGAGCGCCTCAAATATCGTACGAACCGGAGATGGATAGGCTGAATGTTTGTTGCAAGGAAAACTTATAAAAAGGGCCTAAAGCTAATTATGAGTACCAGGGACCGACTCGTGGAAAACTTGACTCCGCGCATTAATTTTTATTGCCATGCGCAAAATGTATCCATTTTTCTTATTTTTATTATGCACGTTAATACTTTTTTTAAAAATTAAACTAAAATTTTAAAATACATTTTTTTTTATTGAACCTTATAAAATGTAGATAATCGATTAAAAATAATTATACAAATTGTAAATCCTTAGTAAATATAAGTATCAATTTTCGTGAATAATACGATAAAAATTCATAGATTAGCTATTTTTTCGTTTCTCTTTATGTTTTTGAACCAAAGGAAATTTTTAAAATTATTATTAATTAGTTATTAGTAAGTATTAAAATTAGCCAAGGGTTCTTGAGTATATTGTTTTCATGTGTTGATTAGCGAACACTGTATAATAAAATAATATAAAAAAAGCCTTCCAGAGTTTGCCTGTCCGCCTATGATACAAATGACAACCGTTTTAAAAACATATTATACTATAATATTTAATTTCTTTGATGTGATTTTTATACTATTCTCATATATTTTTATACTTTGCTTATATATCATAAGTCATAACTCATAACGACATATAATGCAACACCGTCTCCGGTTACAGGGATATCACCTAGTAACTGTATATTTACATATAAGGTAAGAACGATGGCAAGTTCGTTAAATCCAAAGAAAAGTATAATAGGTTGTGAAAAAAAGAAAAGAGTAGTATTCGATTTAAAGAAAATAAATAATGACCCCAGAAATGAAAAGTGTATAATATAGAAATCATTTGAAAGAACAAGTAAATTGGTTAGCAGCAAAGATTCTTAAGTATATTAGTAGGTTGGTATATTTGATAAACTTAAATGGAAATATTAGAGTAGATCATGAAATTCAATTGAGATATCCTAGGGCTAAAGATGTCATGGGTATTAATTATTGAACAAAAGTTACCTGTTAAAATAGAAAAAGGAAACAAAAAGAGGGAACAGAGGACAGATTAGAGGTTAAACGATCAGAGAGAAAAAGAAAAAAACCAAAACAATTTATGGTAGATTAAGAATTATTGTATTTATATTTTGGATCGTTGTATTAATTATGCATGTAAATATGTATTTTATTATTATGTTTTGTTTTGGATTACAAAATATTATAAATATTTGAATCCATATCAGGTCTGTAGGTTCATTAGGACCAACGGTGACAAATCACTTCCAGTTAGATGGTGAAATGGTTTTTTTTTTTATAACATTAATGTAATTATTTCCACTGTTATTTACTGTCCATCTATGTTATTGCGACTACCATATTTGTATTATTCAAAAACCACAAAAAAATTCTAAATTTAGTACGAAGCTAAGATTTTAAAAAGACTAAATCAATAAACGTTAAATAAATTGCAACTGTACAGTTTCAAAACGAAGCATTTTTCCACAAGCATTAAGCATAGTTATAATAAAACATATTACATAATATCTGGTTCACATCACAAATATTACTATTAATAAAAACATATTTATAATACATTATTAAATAAATAACATTTTTAAATGAATTGAAACAATACATTTTCAAATGAAAGTACTTTTTGGCATTCTTACATCCCACAATAGTATTATAATTACATTATACCTGGTACGCACTATACGCATTATTATTCCTTTCATTATAAATATATTTTTAATGCGTTATTAAAAAAATAGACGGTCCACAGACCGCAAGAGTATTATCACATCATCAAATGTATGTCTGATGCATATATACCTCTCATTATAAACATATTATTATCATCTAAAAGCCATTTTTTTAAAATAAAAAATAACGACTTGCTGTTGAATATACATACTTATTACTTCTTTATACTGAACATACATAATTATAACTTTACTTAAAAATAAGTATTTTTACATAATTATGATACATTAGGTTCAATTTAAATTACAGTCAACTGTTCAGTCAGTTATCGTCAAATGTCAAGTAAGTAGGTACGTAGTTCGATGGCTTAAGTTTGCAGACTAACAACAAAAATGAACTTATTCATTGTGTTTTTATTACTCGTGTCCTGGTACATCTCTAAATCTCAAACAGTAAGCGATATTTTTTTAAAAATAATTATTTATATAAGGTTTATATAGTTGATTGAATCATTAAAGAGTTAAACGGACATTCATACAATAGTGTTAAACATAATCTAAAATATTTAGCGATTCCTAAAACTCTTTATTTTTATCCGTGATTTTTCAATTGAATTTTATTGAATAATTTAGACTTTATTTTTATGGATTTATTCAATCTGACAAAAGTCTTAAAATAAATATTTCCTTAATGATTATTCATTATTTATTAGGGTGGCGCAAAAAAAATATTTTTTTCCACCCATCACTAAATATTAATCTTTATAGTAAAAAAATAAGTTTATCAAAGTTTGGGGTAATTCGGTAAAGTTTAACGCGTTTAATATAAATGTTAGGCGTTTTTCATTAATTTTTACAATTCTTTGTCTAAAACTTAAACTATTAAATATTTTCTGAATCTGAAAGTTTTTTAAAAAGTTATTTTTTTTGTCTGATATAGTATATATAACATTTAACCTAGTATAGTAGGGTTTCATAGTAATTTTAATAACTAAATATACGTTTTTTTTAGTTTTTCTAAAGTCAAACTAAAAAAAAAAGATTGAATAATTTAATTTTAAATTGTGTGATAGAAAATTAAAAAATATATAAGGAATGTTTTGCATACCTAAATTTTACTATAGCAGCTAAAATAAACTAAAAATTATATTTTATTTTATTAGTGCTATTTAATAACATTCATTCGTCTTTTATTTTTTTTTAAAACAAGTCTATTTTTTTTTGCAATCTAGAAATTTAAGCGTGTTTTTCAACCTTTTGAAATAGTCATTGTCTTTGCTCTTCATTGTTGGTTAAGCTGTTAAAGAAGTAGTCATAAGTGCAACTCCTCTTCTGCATGAAACTTATAGGACATAGGTATTTAATTATTTAAAAATTACTATAAAACCTTAAAATAAGAGCTTAAATTGTATACGTTGCTACATCAAATAAAATAGTAACTTCTTACGATTTTAACTAAACCGTATATTAAATAGTTTCAGTTATAGACAAAGAATTGGGCAAAATAATGAAAAACGCCTAAAATGTATATTAAATTGCGTTGATTATCTTGTTAAACTTTACCGAATGACTCCAAATTTTAATATACTTTTTACTATAAAGATTAGTTTTTGGTGGTGGGTGCACATTTTTTTTGCGCCACCCTATTATTTATACACAAGATGTTTGTTTATATGGAACCATTTTCACTGTAGAGCCTAAGACGATTGGATTAATGAAATCTTTTGGATTTTCGATAATGGAAACAAAAATAAAGTATTCTTCCATATTTCCTGCATAATCATCCCACAACTTGTAACTCATTATTTTAGATTTTCTATAACAAATTTGAATGTTTTTTTTCAAAACTTTAGAATTTTCAATACAATTTCAAAGTGTTTTATTATTATTTTTTTCGTACAATATTTTAATATCTTTTAAAATATTGTCCGGTTCATAGTTAGTGAATCACCATATAGTCTGGTTATAATGTAGGTATTTTTTTAAACGGTGAGCTAGTTGGCTTAATAAGTACAAGTTGTACATCTAAAATATTTTTGGATATTTATGAAATTTTATTATTTATTAACACCTCAGTACACCTTCGCAATGGAAAAATATGGTAATTGTGGCAATGTAAGTGTTCGCAATATTGTTGACGTTCGATACAATTATTCACAATACACTACCGACGGCAAAGGGTACATGGAATATCTGAGAACTATGAATTGGGAAGACAATTATGAGGTTCGAACTTGCAGCGATTAGGTAAATATAAAACGGCTAATATATTTTGTTGTACATACTATAGATATCAGGCGATATGTATCAAAAACTAGACGGGCGATGGGTTAAAAACCACCAAACAACCTGGCCAAAGACTAAATTTTGTATTTTCTTGTTGGCTGACATATTAGCTATGCCAATTATGCAAAAGTTTATGAATTTTGAAGGTCGTTGTCCATTAAAAAAAGTTAAAAAAACTTTTAAATACTATATTTTACTGTACAACGTCATATTATGAATAAAAGTTTATGTCCTATTGTGTTTAGGGTAAATTCGAGATTTACACAGGCAAGGTAGTATCAAAGTATAAACCCCTTTTGCCTTACGGATGCTGGAAAGCGGTTGTTAATTTTGAAAAACCGGACACAAGAGAGGTCGAAAGTGTTTGTGCTGTCTTCCATTCTGTCGAAAAACTGAAATCCAATCATACAACATGCCAATAGTAAATTCCACGGAATATTCTATGTGCATTATGTAGTTCACATATTTAAATTTTTTATTATCAGTCTGTATTGCAATGCAAATTTTATTTCTTGATTAGTTATAGCAATTTTTATCACTTTTAACAGGATAATATCTGTGACCATTAAACGAAAGACACTCGTTTTATCTGAAAATAATTTCAATTTTGTATTTTTTTTTTTTAATTTATCCATTGTACAATATTAAAAAACTACCAAATATTTATATTTTAAGTATTTTTCATAGCACTATAAACGAAACTCAATCGGTAACGTACTTACCTATATATTCAATTACATTTTTAATATAAGAATAATTTGCCAAATATTTTGTTTGGTCTAGAACCGTTTTTCAATAATTAGTGTAAAGGTATAAGAGTTTATCATTTATCACGGGAGGTGGAGTGCGGTTGAGTAATACATAAGATACAACTCACACTACGGTCCACCCTTTCTCCCGTCTTAAATTTGAAACTTATTTAACTTTAAATGCCGTTATTGAAAGTTGGTTATCGAGCAGTCAAAACAACTGACGGCTAATTATTATTATAAACTATAAAATGGAAATATTAGAGTAGATCATGAAATTCAATTGAGATATCCTAGGGCTAAAGATGTCATGGGCGTTAAACCAAAGTTACCTGTTAAAATAGAAAAAGGAAACGAAAAGAAGACAGAGTAGAGGTTAGACGTTCAGAAAGAACAAGACAAAAACCAAAACAATTTATGTTAGATTAAGAATTATTGTAATTATATTTAGGATCATTGTGATAATTATGTATGTATTTTAATATTATGTTTTGTTTGTTTTGGATTTAAAATTATTATAAATATTTAAATCCATATCAGGTCTGTAGGTTTATTATGCCCGACATTGGTAAAATCACTCCTAGTTAGATGGTGAAATGGTTTTTGTTTTTATAACATTAATATAGTATAATCACTTTATGTTATTGCGACTACTATGGCTGTATTATTCAAAAACAACCGAGTACAAAATAATGCTATATTCAGTACGAAGCTAAGATTTTAAAATGACTAAATCAATAAATTGTAACTATACAGTTTAAAAACGAAGCATTTTTACCGACCTTGATATAGTTGTAATTAAACATGTTACTTATGATACACACTATACATATTCCTCTCATTAAAAACATATTTATAATACATTATTAAATAAATTATAACAATGTAATGAAAAAATAAATAATTATTGCAAACCGCAATAGTATTATTTCATAGTATCTGGTACACATATCCTTCTCATTATGAATATATTAATATCATCAAACATTTTTTTTTAACTAAAAAAAAATTACTTGATGTTGAGTATACATATATTAGGTAATTACTTTTTGAATATTCATAATTATAGCTTACCAAAAAAAAATATTATAACATAGTAATGTTACATTTGGGTTTAGTTTAAATTACATGTCAGGCAAGTACAGTCTTCACTCGATTAACTTTGTTCGATTATCAAGAATTATGAATTTATTTATTGTGTACTTATTAGTTGTCTCCTGGTACATTCCTAAATTTCAAACAGTAAGCGTTATTCATTTTAAAATATAGGTTTATATGTGTTAATTATGTTTCAGGTGGTAGGCATTAAATAGTATAACTTATATTTTAAGTTTCCAAAAGGTATGCGTTTATATTATCGAATTGCGATTTAAAATTTTTGGTTTTTTAAAAAGAAATTCGAATTTTTTAATAATTTATTATTATATGTACAATTTTTAATTTAAAATTTTTTTTTTTTTTGTACAAATAAAAATGATTTTATTTTGTTTAATTGGTAGAAAAACATGAAAACCGTTTTTTTCTTATAAAAATAATTTTTTGTTTTAGAAAATTAAAATTTGACGAAAAACCCGTTATTCTTCGGTAGGTTGACATTGTCAATAATTATCAATCGTGTGTCATTTTAATTTATTTATGAAACCCCAAACATTTTAGTTGGAAAAAAATCCAAACCTATTTGTTACATTATTCAAATTTGAGTTATATATATGCAGAGTGATACACCACTAGCTATGAACCAGTCAATCTCGAGTGATATTAGCCTAAAAAGGATCCATTTTATCCATTTGTAAGTGTGGATAATTGAAAAAAATATATTCATTTTTATAATTTTATAGTTAATGCATTACCCAATTCTATTAAATTTTTTAAAAATATAACCCTACGTTTTAAGTGTTCAAAGTTCAAACCTTATAGACTTGAACTGAATAAACCTTTTAAAATGGTAACTTATATTTATCAACTCTTTAAAGAAGGAATAATTTGTTGATTACTAGTTTTGCGTATTTAATTTTGATGAAATAAAAGTTTAAAATTTAAGATAGAAGAAAAAGTGCAGCATTTTTCTATATGTGTACGAAATGGAGTACACTACTCCATTTCGTATCCTAAAATTGTGAACTTAAATAACTTTAATATCGACCAGTCAAAATTCTTAGCAAACTTTTCTTATTTTTAAAAGCTAAGATAATACGTACACTACCGTTTAAAATTCTTAATTTTGTAGGGGTTTAACACAAAACGTATGGGGTCGTATAACTGAAAAATACATAAAAATTGCGCTAACTAATAATTGTGTAAGTATAAAAAATAGTTTAAAAAAGGCCAATGAATTTAAAGATATTGTCTGGTTATAGTTAGTAAAGTAACCCTGTAAAGTATAAATATACACTTTTTTTTTAATACAGATTGTTAGTTCCATAAAGTTAATAAAAATCGTTACCCGTAATAACTTTTAATAGTTGTTACACAATTTTTATATATTATTAACACTGCAGTACACATTAGTTGTGGAAAAAAGTGGTAATTGTGGCACCGGAACCGTTCGCAGTATTATTAACGTTCAATACAACTATTCGCAACACAATACCGACGGCAAAGGGTACATGGAATACCTAAGAACTATGAATTGGGAAGACAATTTTGAGGTTTGATCTTCGAGCCAATAGACAAGTATAACACAGATAATATTTATCTATACATTTTTTAGATATCAGCCGACATATATCAAAAACTAGATGGGCGATGGGTTAAAAACCACCAAAGAACTTGGCCAAAGACTACATTTTGTATTTTCTTGTTGGCTGACATGGTGGCTATCCCAATTATGCAAAAGTTTACAAATTTTGAAGGTCGTTGTCCAGTAAAAAAAGTAAAATAACTTTTAAGTACTATATTTTATAGTATTATACTATGAATAAAAGTTTATGTCCTATTGTGTTCAGGGAAAATTCGAGGTTCGCACAGGCAAGGTGGTATCAAAATATCAACCCCTTTTGCCTTACGGATGCTGGAAAGCGGTCGTACATTTCGAAAAACCGGATACAGGAGAGGTCGAAAGTATTTGTGTCATCCTCCACTCTATCGGAAAACTGAAATCTAATCATACAACATGTCCATTGTAGAGTCCACGGAATATTCGACTTGCATTATGTGAACTGCATGTTTAAATGTTTAGTTATATTAGTCGATTAAATGTTTTTTTTTTTTTTTAAAGTTATTGCATAACAATACAAAGCTACCAAATAATTACCCGTTTTTTTTGTTGTGGTTTATATAGCACTATTAATTATTGAAACTTAAACAATAACAAATTGATCAAATTTAAAAAAAATAGAGGGGTACCACCAGAGCCGCATTTAGGATTTAGCCGCCCCGTGCAAAAAAAAAATCTGCCCCCCCCCCCAGTTTTATATACTATCCTTTTTGGTTTTTTCGTATAACAAACGACTACCGCTGCCGTATCTATACGAGCAAGACGGTCAGTATTAGCCACTTTGTGACAACCCAGAAGATGGACCCTGCAAAGAATCCGAAACGTCGGTTAACAGCCATTGACACGGATATATCTGAAAATCATCCAAGTGATATACAAATACATTTAAAAAAATGATCATATTTGATTTCAAAAATAAATTATTACAAATATAAGCAGATTATTAAAATAAATATTAAACCAGAAGACAGAAAATTATAATAGCACAATATACTTAATATATCACATCATTATTCATTAAGCAATTTCCATTTAAAATTAAGTAAATAAACAAATCCTCTGTATTTAGTTTTAATTTTACATAATTGCACTTCCGCCTCCCATGTTAATTGTTATTATTAATAACGAGACATTTAATAACGAGATGATAATAAATAGTCATACTCATTACTCTGGCAGCTGATAAAGAAGCATTAGCTGATTAATAGCTCTGTTATAAGCTATAACTAAAAAATATGAACACATATCACAAGAATTTTGTTCAGAAAGTTATTAATTTTAAAGGTTATTTTAAACTGTGATGTGTAATTAATTATTAGTAGAATAACTAGGACTCTATTTTGGTAGTTAATTTATTTTTTGGACTATCACAGCATCCTTGAAAGCGATTTAAAAATATTTTTTCATCCCTACATGTTTAGGCAGACTGAAAATAACTCTTAATTTTAAAATAGAAATAACGACTATTTTAACATTTTTAAATGACTGTAACTTTGCAAAAAATGAATTTTTTTTTCAAATGCACCGTCTTGCCGTCCGGAATATTGTTCTCTTTTAATTTTATAATTGGTGCTTTTACTCTAAAACCAAAATTAAGCGAGTTATTTTCAGTTGGCGTAAACATTTTTTTACCACAAGAAATCACCGGTGCGACGCCCTCTTAATCTTGAAGCTTTAAATTAATATACTTTATACAGGTGATCCAACTAACGTAAGACACTCATTTTCTCTGAAAATATAAATATTTTGAAAACAATTTTTTTCCTAAACACTTAGGTACATATTTTACTAAATTGTTTAATATTTTAAAACATTTTTATCGCCAATCCTTATAAGCCAAAAGAGGAGAATTTTGGTTTTTTTAAATGGCAACATATGTTTTTAATTACATAAATTTGTAGACAAAAAATTAAAAAATATGTTAGTGTTACAATTTTGTATTTTTGTTAATCTGTTCATTAGTCATGACTTTGTTAAGATACTACATTTCCTCTTAATAATAATCATATTTCTTCGGTTTGTCCAAAACCGGTAGCACATCAAATTCATATCTATGTTCGCATTGTCCAATTGGCAATAACATTCTAACAACTAGCAATTCACTATAAAAGATTTTGAAATAGACAACGGTTCTTATCTACAGATTACTTAGATTATAGGTTATTTATTATATCTGATTATGATACAGAGTACGGTAACATGTCAAATTATTTGTATGCAATGTAATAAAACTACTCGTCTTTGTAGTAACGATTGAAAATATTATGAAATACAGTCAACAAATCAAATCTTTATAAAGTCATAACAAACGAACAAATAAATGGAAATTCAAAATTCAAACGCTAACATAATTTTTAATTTTTTGTCTACAAACTTATGTAATTAAAAACATGGCCATAAAATCCCCCTTTTTGGCTTATAAAGATTGGTGATAAAAATTTTCAAAATATTGAAAAATGTAGTAAAATATGTACCTACAAGTTTAGGAAAAAATTGTTTTCAAAATATTTATATTTTCAGAGAAAATGAGTGTCTTACGTTAGTTGGATCACTCTGTATGTAATATACATTAAATCACGATTGAAGATATATCGCATATCAGTATATTATCTTTGATTTGTGTTTTAAATGAAATTTCTTTATTTATTTGTAAAAATGATAACATACTACTGGAGGGAAACCGTTTAAGTCTTTCTGAAATACTGAAGGTATATTATAAACCGAGACTATGGTTAAGCCGGGATCTCATGGAACGTTAATTCGTAATCGAACCGAACCCCGAGCTACGCACCGTGGAATCGTGGCTTTACTAGTTATCAGTAATCTGATAAACTTAACCTTCATCTGGGCGCGCCCTTTTTCGTAGCACTCGCCGGCGCTCTACGGCAATTTACCGCCTTTCTTATTATGATTTTTTTTTTGCCAACGCTTAACATTTTTATGAATGGGGCGGTAACCTAACCTAGGCCATGACCTATGTGCACTGTTTCCAGGACCACCTCCATAAATCTGCCGCCCGGTGCGATTGGCACTCATTGCACCCCCCTAAATGCGGCCCTGGGTGCCACCCCGTTCTTAAGGTTTCAATATCAACGAGGCTGTCAAAGAAAATATGTATAATACAACATAAATTTTTGTCAAAATATGCAATATATCCCAGCTAAAATGTTGTTTAAAATATTACTTTTGCTAACGTGTTATTCCGTTTGTATTTATTTTCAAAACGTGTTACAGCCACTTTTCTGCAAAACTTGCCATTTTCAAAGTTATCGTATATTGTTCTAAGTACGTGTTATTAAAATCATTACGTTCTCTTAACACTGCAATAGTCGCGTCATCAGACAATTTGGTTGCTAAATGTCTTTAGAAGTTTATAATTTTCACTCTATATTTTGAGAAAACTTGTCTCTGGAGTGGAATATAATAGGAAAATTCTGTATGAACTAACAAAAAAGTATAGTCAACTATTATCAGTTTTATAAAATTATTTTTTTTTCGATACTTTTACTTGGGAATTGAATCAATAAATTGACATTGGGATTTTCATTGCACCGGTTTTTGTGTAAAATTATCTAATGTATAATATTATACTAAATACTTTCAAGTTCGTGAATATAAATTTTACGTTGTATGTTCTACGATATACATAGTACTTAATACGTATTTGAATTTGAAATACTTTACACAGAACATAATAAAACATTTTAGACAGCTCGTTTGTGCCCTCGAATTAATTTAGTATTTCATTATTAGGTGTGGTCTTTGCCGGATTATCCGTCCATCATAGATCGATAGCAATATAAAATTAATATATTACAATAGTAAATCTACTGTTAACACTGCCTTCACATTCTTGTCCCGCGCAAAGCAGTTTTTATTGCACCAAAAAATTTAAAAGTAATTCTCATAATAATTATTATTATGATACTCTATGGTGGCGAACGACGGCGGCGGAGTCGGCCAAAACTGGTTTTAGACGGCAAATAATAATTTCTACGATAACAATTAACAAATAACAATAACAGCTAGTCGATTTTTATTTACATCATTTTTATCGACAAACAATATTACTTCTGTTTTTAATGTTTCATTTCAGCCAAATAAAACAAACAAAAAATGGAACTTGTTTCGCGTAAGCTACATTTTAGTACATAATCGGTCCACATTTAACTGATAACTAGACTAAAAGACCCCATGCCCACCCTTTGTACATAACTTTACGTCCCTTAAAAAGGGGATGAGCGACCCCCTTGTCTTTTCTTCTTATAACTCGTCAACCGTTGGACTTACGGCTAAAGTATGACGAATACAAATTTAAGGCCGTCAAATTTACCATAGGAAAACATAAATCTTATTATAATTAAATTGTCACAAAATAGCAGAAAAGGCAACTTTTTAGAAACTAGAATATTGAACATTTGATAAAATACACTTTAAGCATTCACCGTAAGCCGTTTTTGATAGCATAAAAAAGGCAAATAAGACAATTTTTTTGATCATTTGAGTGACCGGTACTGTTTAAAAAACGTTCTACGAACACAAAATGTTGCACACCAATATAAAGTGTCTAGAAACAACTATTTTAAGAAACATTATTTAGGGACTTCGTTTTCAAAATCATACCAATAATTTTGGAATATTAATCTGTCGAAAAATGCATTTATGAACCAATTGGTTAAATGAGTATTATGTGTCCACCGTCCAGGGAGTAAAACTGGAATGATTATAATAGTATCTTATGTGTAATCACCCGAACACAGTCATTAATTTGTAACTCATACATGTGTTAGCAAAGGCAAAACCAAAGTTTTACGAATGGTTTTAAAATATTATCTGGTACAGGTATAGATGTGCATTTTTTATTCAAGTTAAAAAATAAAAGTTAAGTTGATAAATTATTTTAGTCATAACATTTTACATAGATTAAATGATGTAAATATTTTCCGAGACTTCACGGCTTCGGCCTTGAATAAAGCTTTTATAATTTTTTTTTTTTTTGACTGAGCCGCCATGTAAGCCATTGGAAGATGAAAAAACTGTAGCAATAGCGTACATAAA